AGTTTACTACACTCTACATCTTAATCTGTATACACTACTTACACTTACTATACACTACTATAGTGTATTTATCTTTTCTTACTTGTTACTACTTACTAATCACTCTAAACCTGTCTTACAGACACAGTCTCACCCTTCACAATCTGCTCAACCTTACAACTCACACACATACACAATTCTACTTGTAGAGACTGAGCAACAATCAAGGCCTAGTAATAAAGACTATATTAAACAGTCTAAGAATGTATTAATCCTTTATTAACACAAACTCTACTCACAAAAGAACAAGATAGAGGCTGCTAGTAGTGTAGGAATTGGGATTATAGAAATAATGTATTATTTACTATCTTTTTGTATTCTATAATCAAATATAATCATATTTTATTAATTATTTAATACAAATTTGTAAGTAAAGCCAAAACAAGCTATTCAAATACTTGTAATGACTAGTATAAATTGTAAGAGGATACTATACTGTTAAAATTTGATAAGTATATTCTAACATTATTATTTCAGGAGGTATGTTATAATCACTTGTATATCTTGACAATATGTACAATTATAATTAATATTAGTAATTTTAATAACTATTCTAGATTCTTGCTTTACTTGTACTAAATTATAATTGGATTGTGAAAACTACTATCTAAGTTATTATCACTTTTACAAAATTTACAAAAAGTAAAAAATATACTAGGTTATAATCTAATACAACTGTTAAGACTTTTTTGTAATACTATTAACTGTATACATCTTGTGTAGACAAATAAAATCAACACTTATATTTTTTGTTGATTGCACCACTTTATTATATTGAATATAATATAATCTTACTACTCATATAAATTTTCGAGGCATAATTAACATGCTGTAGTTTTTACACTGAATACTTGTGTGGGGACAATGTCACCACTATATTTCATCTAAAAAAGGCAAGATTGGTGGCAGAGTCGAAAATCCCATGGACGCGCGTCACTTGGGAAAGTAGGACCCCCAGTTTCAGGTCAAGGCTGGTGTTGCTTGTTTTGTATTTGTGGTAGGTGGACACAGGTCTTCGACTCATTCGGGGTTTCCTTTCCAGCAGAGTAAGAGAATTTTTGTCCGTGTCGGCAGCGAAGAAAAGAGCTGCTGCTGCCATCGGGAAGGGACGGGATTGGCTCTCTTGCTTGTAATAGTTGTATCATACTATCAAGATGCTGGTGGCGGAGGAGAGCGGGGCAGAAAAGGAAGTGCGGGGTAAATTGCGGGGAAGAGGGATCACGCCTATCGGGTTTGTCCGGGTCAGCTATGAGGCACAATTTGAGCAACTGCTTCTCCATTGAACACCGACGCTCTAAATTATACGGCAAAAATAAATAACCAGAATTATTGCCATTCACTTTTACATTTCGTCTGGCATCCTCGTCAGAGATAGAGGTAGACATGCGGAAATGCTCTTGCGGAGCCGAGTTAGGATGTGCCTGTCTTGTGGATGGATTCGGATGACGCCCTTCCGTGTTGTCGTTTGGCTACGTGCGCGATAGGAGTATCATAGTTAGAGTCTAGGTTCATGTATTATCACCAGCTGATGATGGTCAACGACAATTGCATTTGCTCCGAGATCATATCTCCCCCTATGAGCGCGCATATAAGCACCTCTTCCTTCTGACCTCATCCTTTCTTTGCTTCGCGGAAACCCCCACTCAGTTTCTCCTTCTCTTCCTTCTCCGTATTTTAGTATTCTTGCTTCGTTTGTGACCTAAGGCAAAAGGCATATTCTCTTGCATACATTTCTAGCTAGCCAAAACACAGACGTAATCAGATAAACTAGCCGACGACTGAAAATGGCGATGGTGACAACCATGACCAAGTTCGATGAATGGCCAGAGCCCAAACCGAATCGTACATTCGCATCTCAGTCCAAACTCCCTCGTCTACCTATTCCACCGCTAGAAGACACATGCAAACGGTATCTCCGTGCACTCAAGGCGCTGCAATCGCCACAGGAGCATGCGGACACGGAGCGAGCTGTTCGTGCATTCTTAGAGGACCCGACAATGGGCCCGAGGATGCAGAAGAGGTTGGAGGATTGGGCAAAGGACAAAAATAGGTGAGATTTACAGATTGACTTGTTGCTGGATGCGATTATGCTGACCGAGGACTTGGTTGATAAACAGCTACATTGAGGATTTTTGGTGAGTCTCGCCAATGACTTCATATTCTCGCATTTCGTCGCCGTCTTCATGGCTGCCATTCGCCTCTTCTCCCGATGACTTCTTTCTCCGTTTTCTCCGTACATTGCGCCCGAAATGATGCCTTCTCTTCCCTTGCACACGCTATGTGTGTGACTCTGCGTTGGTGTGTGTGGTGCGGTGCTATGCGGTCCATATCCGTGTGAGGTGCCGCATCGGCCTTCCGCGCGCTTCTTTTCGTTCAATTGCCATTTCGTCATCGTCTTATCCATAAAGAAAAGAAATCTAACCGTAACCCTCCCTCTCCTTTTCGTTTTTGCAGGTATGAGAGTTACCTCTCGCACACAGACCCAGTCGTCCTTGCACTCAACCCGTTCTTCGTACTCGAGTAAGCAATTCATCCTATATTCAATCCTTACTCGTAATTCACATGCTCTCTTTTTTCTCCTTCTACTTGATAGGGATGACCCTACGCCATCTCGAGGTTCTCAAGTCCCTCGCGCCGCAGCACTGATCACGTCGGCTCTGGGGTTCATTCATGACCTGCGTGCGGGTTTGTTGGAACCTGATAATGTTCGTGGTGTCCCACTTGATATGGATCAGTATACGAGGTTGTTTGGGACTGCGCGGATTCCAACCCAGGTTTGCAATACAAAATTATCGATGCTCTTAGATTAACTCATGATATTTCATACAGAGAGGTTGCCGCATGCTCGTGAATGAAGAGTCTTCGCATATTGTTGTTCTTCGCCGGGGTCAATTCTATTGGTTTGATGTTCTTGACGGGGAGAACCGGCCTTTGCTCACCGAACGCGAAATCTTACGCAACCTTCAAGCTATAGTCGACGATGCAGATCGTACGCACGTCACTGATGTCGCAAAGTCTGCCATCGGGGTTTGTTCCACGGAGAACAGGAAGATTTGGTCCGGATTGAGGGAGCTAATACAGGGCCAGAAGCAGAATGCTGGATGTCTTGAGGTAGTGGACGGTGCGCTTTTTGTCGTATGCTTGGACGATGCTTCGCCAGCAGATTTGGCTCAACTGTGTGATAATTTCTTGTGTGGGACGTATGATTTGAGGAATGGAGTACAGGTCGGGACTTGTACGAATAGGTGGTATGATAAGGTCGGTGTGCACTCTCCGCTTCTCATTATCATCGTATCTAACGATTTCCAACGTTTTAGCTGCAAATTATCGTCTGCGCGGATGGTTCAGCCGGTATCAACTTTGAGCATACGGGCGTTGACGGACACACCGTCCTACGCTTCGCAGCAGACATCTTCACAGATGGACTCATGCTCCTCGCACGTTCCATTAACCCATCAGCACCAACGCTCTTCCACGCACCTCTCAGTCCATACGCAAAGTCCTACAAGCCTCCAAAGGGACAACAAGCACAACCTCCAAAGGGACAACAATCACAACCTCCCAAGACGCCAAATGGTATCAACGGCCCACAGATCTCACCTCGCAGCCAGATGCTTTCACTATTTAACATAGCACCTAAGAAACTCGAATGGGTCCTGAGTCCGCAATTGCGCGCGGGTATAAGGTTTGCGGAGACGAGGTTGAGTGATTTAATTTGTCAGAATGATTGTCAGGCGTTGGAGTTTAAGGGATATGGGAAGGTGTTTATTACGAGTCATGGGTTTAGTCCGGATGCGTTTGTGCAGATGGCGTTTCAGGCGGCGTATTTTGGACTTTATGGTGGGTTCCTTTTATTTTCATTTTGAACTTTTTTTGTCTGGGATGGGAGGTTGAATATTTTGTGATATATGATAGGTCGGACGGAGTGTACGTATGAACCTGCGATGACGAAGCAGTTTTTCCATGGACGTACGGAGGCGATACGTACTGTTCAGCCGGAAAGCGTCGAGTTTACCAAGGTGGGTATTTTCTATCACTCGTTTTCAGGGAGCGACGGCTGCTGACGATGCATCGTTTCTCCAGACATTCTTCTCCGACGCACCCCAAAACGAGAAGATTACTTCACTCCGCAAGGCCTGCGAACGACACGTCGCGCTCACGAAGGAATGCAGCAAAGGTCTTGGACAAGATAGGTCAGCGCTACTCTTTAACTCTTCAATTTGGATCCCCAATATTAACAATGATTCATCAAAGACACATGTATGCACTCTACTGCCTCTTCCAACGTGAGATAGCCGATGGCAAGTTCGACATCCTGCCTGACGATCCAGTTCCTTCGCCCACCTGGCCGAGACGCGCGTTACCGGAGGTCTTCACGGATCCTGGTTGGAGCTTGTTGAGCACGTCGATTATCTCGACGAGTAATTGTGGGAACCCTGCGTTGCGGTTGTTTGGATTTGGACCTGTTGCGGCGGATGGGTATGGAATTGGATATATTATTAAAGATGATGGGATTTCTATGTACGTACGCTTTTCATTTTCATTTCATCAATCGGTTCGGCGTAGAGCGGCTGTTGACCGACTTGTACTGGGATATAGTTGTGCATCATCTAAGCATCTCCAAACTCGGCGCTTCCTTGATACACTGGAAAGTTACCTACGTGACGTACAGAGGATCCTTGTACACCTACACCGCGCGGCGAACGCGCCACCAACACCATTCATCGACATCACAGGTATCCTACGTGATGCGCGCACAGGCCGGCCTATTCATGGCCAACCCATTGAGGATGAGAATAATGAGTATGATGAGTATGAGGTGGACGAGGGCACGAGTACGTAAAAATTTGCTGTTATTTCTTGTCTTGGTCTTGTTTGAGCTTGGTTGGGGCATGTTCTGACTGGATTATCCTCTTCTCTTCTTTGAAGCTGGATACTCGTTCTTTGATAGTGGTGAGATCAAGTTGCTTGGACGTGCGGATAGGGAGAGGAGGTCTTTGCGTTCACATGTTGGTACGTTTTGTCTTTTTTGCTATTCTGCTGTTCTTTTCCCTTACTTACCGTCTTTCTGTAATTAGGCAAAGTCATTCCTATGGCGGAATATTAGTCTTCCCCTTCGCAAGTTGGTGCGTGTTTTTCTTAGCCGACTATCGTCTTTCCTCCTGCTTAACATCTTCCTGCGATTAGGCAAAGTCATTCCTATCCTATGGCGGAATATTAGTGATGAATATATGCGGTGTTGCCAGTTGCAATTAATTTCTTGTGTGAAAGGGTGGTTATAATGTACCATTATGATATGCTCCATAATTTTATTTCTTGGCTCCATCGGCAGCGTGTATGTATGCAATATCAATCTCAAATATGATTTCATTTCTCTCTTTGTTCACCGGCCCGCCTGGACGGCACTGAGGACACGAGCGTGATGAAATTGGTATTGAGTCACCTACGCCAAGCGAATGGAATTTAATGTAATCGTGGAAACTCGGCATCTCGGCAGTGGCTCCCGCGTATCAAATGCTGTGACGCGGGGAAATCGAAATGTCAAGTACGCCCAGTCGGTCGCGTCTTCTTGGGTCCGTACCTCCGCGTCACTCTTCCAGTTTCCTTCCGCCACCTTTGGCAATAAGCTCACCACAGCTCACGCACGCACTTTACACTAACAAATACATTTGTTGGACAATTGAAGACTGGTAGCTTCGACAGAGCTGCTAGTTGACACTATCGAATGCCCCCCGCTCGATTGTTGCTCTCCCTTGCTTCGTCCGTCCTTTCTGAGCACATCCCGAACTTCCAAGATGCTTTCCGTAGTGGTGTTTTCTCCTCTTTCTTCTCCTTTCATTTCTCCGGTGTCGATGGTGGTAGCAACCCCAGCTCGGAGTTGCATAGTCTCGCGAAACGTGAAATCGAGAAGACGAGCGCCGAGTTCGTCGTACTCGCATGCCTCATACCTGTACTCGTCATCTTGTCTGGTGTATTTGCCGGGCTAACATTGGGGTATATGAGTCTCGATGAGACGCAGCTTAATGTTTTGAGTATTTCTGGGACTCCGTAAGTACAGACTCTCATATTTCGGTTTTCCGTATTCTCGGAGTATTATCAACACCAACAGTGAAGCCACGTATACGCACTTACGAACACACTTCTTCCCTCCCTTCCTGAACTTTATATTTATCTATTTGGAGTAAACTAATACATATTGTGATGATATAGCAAGCAGAGGGAGTATGCCAATAAGATCAAACCGATTCGCAAGGATGGACATTTGCTCCTGGTGACCTTGCTTTTGGCGAATATGATCACGAACGAGACCCTGCCGGTCATTAGTGATCCCGTCCTTGGGGGTGGAGTTCAGGCCGTAGTCGTGAGTACGGTACTCATTGTCTTGTGAGTTCCTTTTTCTAGCATTATTCGTCTTCTTTTCAATTATCTACTCTGGGCATTATCTATTCCTTCGCGGCTTGTCTTTACGTTTCACGTCCTTTACGGATTGCACTATGCGTGCTTCCTTTGGCGTTTACAGTTGTGCTGTGGCTGAAATGACGTTTCGGACCGGCTCAATTCACCGATCAATTACTTGTTTTGGATAACGTAGATCATAACTGACACTGAGTTACCTCCGCATTACTGCCCCTGTAATAGGTTCGCTGAGATTATTCCTCAGTCGATTTGCACTCGCCATGGACTTTATGTCGGCGCAAAATGCGCCGGTGTTGTTCGTGTGCTTATCTGGGTTTTCGTGAGTCTCGTCGAATTTTAAGATATTTATTGTGTGTTTGTCGATACTGATACGCAGTGCTTAAGGGTATTGTTGCATGGCCCGTCGCGAAGTTGCTTGAGTTTCTGCTGGGACCGCATCATGGAATTATTTACAGAAGAGCTGGTACGTATAACAGATTCCGATTTTATTATGCACTGCGACTCATTTATAATCTTCAGAGTTAAAAGAGCTTATTGCAATGCACGGCGCGGAGAATCCTCTGGGCGGTGACCTCCGCACTGATACGGTCACTATCATCGGGGCCACGCTCGACTTGCAAGACAAGACTGTCAGGCACGCGATGACACCCATCGATCGCGTCTTTATGCTTCACATCGACGCCAAGCTTGATTATGATACTCTTAGACGCATTTGTGCTACTGGACATTCTCGCATTCCTGTTTATGAAGAAGTCGAAGTGACTGTGCCCGTGCAAGTGGCCATCACTGCTGCTGAAATGGGTACTGGGGATGGCTCAAAGGTGCCTGCTCCTGCGATGAAGAGTATTGATGGTGATAACCTGGTGAAGACGAAAGTGAAAAAGATTATTGGAATTTTACTTGTTAAGCAATGTGTGTTGCTTGATCCTGAAGGTACAATCTATCTATTTAGTCTCGCTCATACTTGATACTGAGACTACCTCAGACGCTGTTCCTGTGCGTAGAATGCGTCTCATCAAGGTGCCATTTGTTCCACAGAACGAACTACTTCTCGGTATACTCGACCGGTTCCAAGAAGGACGCAGTCATATGGCTATCGTTAGCCGTCTGAGTCGCGAACGCGCGCAAAGCGTCAAGAAAGCGGTTCGAAAAGGTCTCACTCAGCGTCTCTTGGGTGCACTCCACGGTGACTCGTCCTCGGATACATCATCCGATACAAGTGACGATGATGATGACGGGAAGTCTAACGATAGTACAGAAGTTCGGGAACAGTCAGTTAACGGTGACAGTGTCACCGTCGCAGGAGATGACTCAGAAAAACAGTCGAATAAAGTGAAGTTTGCGGGTAAGAAACATCGGTTCCGTAAACGCGATAAGAAGCGTAAACACGATCGACGAGATTCTGGCCAGAGTGATCTTGAAAAAGGCGACGCGGAGGCAGAGGCAAAGCGAGAGAAGGACAAAGACAAAGACAAGGAGAAGGAGAAGTTATGGAAATCTGGGTTGGAGCAGAGGATGCCTGCGGATGCTGTACTTTCAAAAGCGAATGCGGAAGAGTATCTTGCAAGTCAGGGAATTGATCCAGCGATTATGCCACTTGGTATCATCACGCTCGAGGACGTCTTGGAAGGTGGGTTGTTATCTATTACCATTAAACTGCGTTGCTGATTTCCTCTCGCCTTACAGAGGTTATTGGTGAAGAGATCTACGACGAGTTTGACGTCGAAGGTACTGGAGCACATTCTCAGTCCTTCGTACCTCCTGGTGCACACCCTCATCAACAAAAGTCGAAGCCCGCTCTCGTCCGGAAGAATTCCGCACCCGAACTCGCTACCAGTGATCCATCACACGGAAAGATGACCGAGTCACCACCCATAGTTCCTCCCTCGGCTGCACGAAATGCTCTAGGGTTGGCGATGCCGAAGCCTATCGCGCTCACCAACTTGAGGTCGCTCGGCTTCTTGAGAAGTAGAAGTGCACCGCCGACGCCGCGTGATGCTGTGAAACCGCTTCCTGGGTCCGAAGGAGCAACGCCTCCTGGTGCGGTGACGCCCGTTCCTGTCACTGGAGCTTCGAAATCTGAGGACAACGCCACGTCCATGGCACGTAAATCAGGAGAGATTGGCCCGTATACTGCTAGTGGTGGGATTTACCCGCCTATAATCACGACTCCTCCGGAAGGTGAAAGTCGGCATTTAGCACAGATTATGGAGAGCCCTCCTGGTAGTGAAGGTAGTGCTGTGTCTGCTTATGGTGGTTCACCGCCTGTTTCCGGGACGTCTGATGGGCAGGGACAAACGAGAATTGCTGTTGTGAATCCAGCGACATTGGCAACTGGAAAGCCGAAGTCACGCAGCACGTCACCCGCGCCCTCGCTCGAAGCGATTCTACATAGTAAACGACGCGGATCGTTCGCCACCGGTGGAGCGGGGTCTTCCCGCCTTGCTGTCTCTGCGACAGGCTCGGGATCCGGTGAAGGTAGTAGTAGTGTACCGGGCAGTGGTACGGCAACTCCTGTAGAAGCGCAGCAGCAACCGCAAGTAGGTCAACGCGGAAGGCCGAAGGGGACGTTTAAGAGTAGTCCGCTTACGCCGATTGGGGCAAATGCGGACGTGGTTGTTGCAGAGGAGATTAGGAAGCAGAAGAGGGAGCAGGTGGCAAGGGAACGTGAACGTGAGGCTGCTGCTAAGGAAGCGAAGGAGAAGGACGAGGAGAAGGACGAGTAATGTGTGTACTTTCATGTTTCATGGTAGTGCTTCGCAAACATGAAACTATCTATCTTCCCGATCGGTATACATGCGTATTTATACATCGCTATGCGTACTTCAAGAAATAGTGATACTGTCGTCTCGAATCCTTCGTTCCAATCGTATGCGTTAGCTTGTCGTTATATTATAATATATACGCCTGTGCCTCTTTGCAGGCTAGTTCTATGCATTCATTGTTTGTTATTTCCTCAGACTCAAACGTCTCGAATAATTTGTTGGCTTCTTGATATACGCGGTAGTAGACGTAAATATATTTGTCTTGGCGTGGATAGGCAGTGCTAGTTCATACGTCATGTTCTGTCACTTTGTTTGCCCTTATGGCCAACTCTATTCATCTGTTCCAGGTGCCTGAGAGACTGAAGCACATGTAAGACCTTGCGTGACTCCGAATGGAATGTGCTTGTTGTGAATGATGGTTGATGTTTATAAAGTTGGGCACTGCATATGTTGTCCATCTATCACCTCAGTAGAGACGAGTATACAAAATAGCTGATGCGCTGATGCGCTGGGATAGCAGGGAGCTGATATGAATAATGAATAACGAATAACGAAAAGAATCCACGAGTCCCGATAAAAATAAAACAGGGGGAAGACATCGTCCTTGGCTCGAAAACGAGTAAAAAAAAGAGTGGGTGTGTGCTACTGTTGAGATCAAGTATAATGAAATGAAATAGAGAAAAGGTGGAGACATCTGTTCGAAGAGTATGTACTACTGTGTGTGTTGGGGAACAAGATGTGCATTGGAGTTGTCGACATCTATTTCATCATATGGATTAGATTCGTTGGTGTCAATTAAAAGATAGGAATGAATTTTTATTTACATTGGTTCTGCGTTGTGTAATTCATCTGTGCTGAGTATTCGGCGGTTTGCACAGGCATATAAGCTGGTTGCATCGGGTAGCTTGGGTAATAGCCTTTATTCCAAGCTATACAGAAATCGTCAGCATCCGTGTCACTTTCTCTCTACATGTAGCAGTGGGGGAAGGAAGAAAGATAGACGTACGATCTGAGCTAGCGTTACTCGTCCAATTTGATTTTCGAAGGCCCAAATGGATGAGGACGATTATAGTTGCAGCGTGGAATGTATTCATAAGGATGATCTCCGCTAGATTAGCACGTTCGTAAACCTCGAAGTTGTCGGATTTTAACCCGGCGGGCGAGTCTATGATCGTGAATGCAAGGTCCTCGATAACATGGCAGACGTATAGTGGGAGAGCGAAGAAGAGAAGTGTCTTCAAGACCTGCAGAAATTCATCCAGGACTTTTATGAGCCAGGAGGATGGACGCAAAGGATGTGCATTTACCTTATCAACTACACCAGCTCGGCGTGCAACTGAATGGGCACGGAAATTGAGGGCACCGATGAAGAACGCGGTGGTATACCATAACGCGTAGAAGGCATATAGCAGTTTGTTGGAGAGGTCAGCCTTGTTCTCGACACCTTGCCGGGTGCTTCTGGTCAATCTGAAAAACGCTCTGATGTAGGCGATGTATGCGCCCCCCTGAGCCGTGCCCATAATAACAAGAATTGCGTAGATGATGAAACTCGCGATGGTCCATACTGAGCTGAGGCCTGCCTTACCGATATTCCTGGACCTCGCCGTAATGATAAGGCAGAAGGAAAGGAAAATCAGTGCCAGAGCCCAATTGAACAAGAGTGCGCTCATTCCGTAAAGCGCTGCGATGGCACCGATTGGTGGGTCGTCAAATGGGTCGACATCTGCAGTTAAGATATCGAGGCCGATTTGCGCGCATGTTTTAATGAATGAAAGAAAGACCCCAAACAAGAGTGGTAGGTATGCGAGACGGTGTCCACGGGCGACGAAGAGGGCTGGAATGCTGAGAACGAAGAGAATGAGGTACGCAAGTGCAACAATACCCCGTACAGCGATACTGGCCTGCCCGACTTTAAGCAACGCTTTTTATATATGTAGAAGATGAAAACACGTACTTTGGTAAGGTCGTCCCCTTCAAATACATAGGCGTTGGCGCGAGCAGCGAACGCTAAGGTAGCTAACAGGACTGGGGTATACATAGTGGTTTTTTTCTAGTCGATGCTGCTTTGTCCCTCCAATCCAGCCCCTTTTAATCGCGTTTGACAGGACGACGCATGTTGCTGTCGGGCAGTGTGATTGCGCCAGTGCAGCCCTGAGAGCGCGAGAGCTGGTAGGGATATGACCCGAGAGGCTGTGCTTAATCTAAATCTTCGAATCGCCGAATCGGTCGGATGAATGGACCAACGACTGAATCGTTTCGCTATCTATCGCAATGCAAACCAGGCTATATCATTGAGTCCTCGTTAAAAAATGGATAGCTGCTCCAGGTGGTCGGTAGACAAATGATATACAATTGCAGAAAGCCTGGTAAGAGCTCAAGAGGCTATGTCTTTCGACTGCTAAAAAAAATCATTCCGAAAGGCACCAAATGGCCTCGGTTCAATGCCAAGTCGAAGATCGAGATCGTTTCAATTGTTGCTCTGGCATCAAAGTACATCAGACGTTGAGCGGTGAGCATTTTCGGCTCGGTTTCTGCGCCTTGCAGTTTGCCACAATTTGAAGTTCTGGTTGGTATAAATACCTGCAGGAAAGATAAACTGGGCTGCTGCGAAAGATTGCATCAGCGCGAGACTTAATAGTGGCATTTTTAACACACTCTTCATATGATAGTTATAAGCGCTGCCAGCGAATTCGAATCCGTCAGTAATGGCACTTGTTACATTGCACTAATCACGCTCATCACGCTCTAGCTATAAGCTCACCACTTACTGGTACTCCATCGAACAAGCAACACCTGTGTGGTCGAGTCGAGTCCGACAACTTGCCTGGTGATTGCTAGGATTACATAAACTGGATTTTCCACCGCGTGAGCTTCGACTTTTCACGTGCCTTCAAGTCTTTTCTCTTGCTTGCCAAACGCCAATGCTCATAAGTTCATGCCTTAATTATTCACCACTTCGATCCTGAAAGCACTATTATTCTATGCTTAGCTTTGCAAAAGACCACGACTGCTTTACCCGTGTTATTGGAACAATATGACCAATGTCTCTGGTGCTGGTGGTGATTTGTCTTCGATCAGTTCCTCACTGAGTTACTACACACCCAATTAGTGCTAATACATAAAATGATTGTCGGGTCTCGTTATTCTAGGTAGGCAGTGGTTGCGATTGCGATGAACGATTGTCTCATCTCAGCGTCACTGTCCCAGGGACTACCCACTACAGCTTTGAAAAAGTACGTTTTGAAGAAACGGTGTTGCTTTCCACGTTACTGATGTTTCTTTAACTCGTTATAGACGTTGGATAAATTCAATGTGTCGCTGTGCACAAAACTCGATGCTTAATACGGGCACGAGAGGTGAACAGGAATATATTATTCGCTGTAACAACCATTCCGGATAAGTCTATAACCGTTGGACGTCAGGTCAAGTGAAAAGTCGACAGTACACATGAAGTTGTCAAGAAGAATCTGCTATCTGAATGGATAAGAATAGAAGCCGTATGCTGTGGGCAGTGATTCATGGCCTGTACTTCTCCATGACACGGAAAGTTCCTCGAATTGCACGGCGAAAGTGACGATCAGCCAATATTCCGATACCATGTGCTAGCGCTCTTCCATTTATGTATAGTATAAGAGTCAACGAGGGATGCGTCTCCTATCCCTCCAGCCATGTCGCCTTCCATCATCGTTCTACTACCGACATGAAATGGACAAGTTTCTCTGGCGTGCTTGGTGCATTCACTTGTGCATTTCTCGCGGTGACCTCGGTCAAAGCGGTCTCTTTCCCTATTGTCCGTTTCGAGTTTACTAGGCAAGCGATCTGTCAATATCGCTCCCTTCGTAAATGGCAGCACGAGTGTACAAAGTCATGGAGACAACAACTATTTTGCTAACAACACACTTGGTGGCAAAGCGTTCGAGGTTGGGATTGATACGGGAAGGTACGTGATTAAATTCCCAAACAGCGAAACATGAGTCATAACCGTTTTTGTGTTTACAAAGCTCTACTTTATGGGTAAAAGGAGATGTACCTGGAACGAAAAATCTCAGCATGCCGCACGAAATTCATGTTGGAACCGGCTCAGAAAAGGGTGTGCTATCTCCGTCGTGTGCTGTTTTCTACTGCTTGCTTATCAATTAATAAAGGGTTTATAAACACAGCTGATATGGTGTTTGACTATTTCACAGTCAAAGATCAAGCTTACCGTGAGTCATTCAGATAATATAGGTTGCTTTCCTCCTCAAGCTTCCATATTAAAGTCAATGTCATTCCGACCTCCCCCCCCCCATACACCTGATGAAGATAGCATACTCGGCTTGGGACTGGGACCATCTGCGGAATTCAATTCCACTTTGGCACCTCCGCTCGACCGGATCTTCCGACAAAATACTTCGACACCGAATTTCATTTCCGTCCTTCTCACTCGTATGACAGATGAGAGGCCCGGAGGCACAGCGCCGCAAACTGGCCAACTAACAATTGGGTCCGTCATCCCGACACTTGAGAATATCACGAGACAGGCAAAGCTACCGGCTCTCCGGGTCGGGTGTTAGATGTCGTTGCTTGACGAGAATGGGTGTATAGGACCTGATGGCAAGGACTTATTGGCGAAGACATCCATTTCTGACCCGAAGCAGGGCAGTACCAATCAGTTGCACGTCATGTTCGACACAGGTACCAATCTCGCGCTGGTTTCTAGAGAAATTGCAGATACTATCTACGGACGTGTACTGGATGCAGCGTTCTTTCCTCAAGACGAGGCCGGTTACTGGCAGATTCCTTGCGACTATGAGCTGAACGTCACTTTCTCCTTTGGTGGAGTCAAGTATCCGATTGTACCCTTGGCTTTGACTAAGCCTGAACAAGGCTACTCCTCTGAAAAGTTTATAACATGCGTATCAATTGTACTTATCAGCAGTTCTTGTCTTCATTCGGTTGACTGAAATCTGTACTAGTTCCAACAAATTCCGCAATCTCTCGCAGATTATACACAGTCTGGAGGAATGGACACAATACTCGGCATGGCGTTTTGTAAGTTATCACTTCTACTGCTAGGTGTCCCACTGATTATTCGTCAGTGCGAAACACTTATTTGTTGATTAATTCTGGCGACTTCATTAATGGATCAAGCAGCTCCGTCGCAGATCCGTACATTCAACTTCTTTCTGTGACTGACTTAGCAGTGGCACACACAGACTTTGTTAATGTGCGTCTAGGTGGAGTGGACAAGACCGGCTCACAGCCATCCCTGCTCTCCATGAAAAAAGCGAAGCATTCTCCTCAGACGAAAGTTGGAAAACCTTTCTACAAGACTTTGTGGTTCATTATTGTCGTCTCTATTGTTGGTGCGCTACTGGTGGCCTCAATTGCCTACTTCGTCTACTCGCGTGTTCGTACGCGAAGCAGCAAAATACGTATAGAAACAGGGTTCAGGCCTGCAATGGTCGGAACAACCTCATATGCACCATTGCTTGATCCTGTTTCGCGTTCGCAAAGTGCACGCTCTGCTTAGCTGTCGCAACATTCCGAGCCGTGAGCTTTTGGTGGATGCTCAGTGGAAGCTCTAGAGTATTCAGAGCTGGAGTATGAGGGCTTTGCCAAGATATTAAATTAAGCTCTAAGACTAATATTTGAGCCTTCTTTAGTTGTTTTAATATGTAAATTCTTATTTATTTATCTTTCCATTTCCTGCTTTATGTTATTTGATTGGAACCGTAGTCTGGACAATGCAGACGCGTTGCATATTCCATAGTATTTACTAAACGCCAGTGGATTATCCTCATGATGTTCTGTTACGCTTGCTCGAAGAAACTAGACGGTGGAATAGTCACTGAAAATTGTGAAGCTAAGAAGTGACGAAAATCGAAATGCGCATTGGCATTGCACGGGTTGCACGCGTGAGAAAATGCTTGGTGCATGTTGCCTGAGCTGCTGAACTCAATGCAAGCAGCGACAACTTCGGCTCTCCTCCTCACAGAACGTTATATAAGGGAATCACTATAATACAAATGAGGTCTCAAAATTGTCCAAGTAGCTTAAGGAAAAGGCATGGGAACATTAGGAAGACGGGTTCAAAGTGAGAAACGTTTGTGTACTCTTTTTCCTCGTCAAACTTGAAGAAATTGCTTATCGTGATTACCTTGTCTTCTATCTACCATCGCTGAAAAGAGCGCTAGAAAGTATGGATGACATCCGCATGAATATGACCCGGTATATTTATTGTCTCTTTCACCACGTGCCTCTCTAGATGATGGAAGCGGTTGTCTGAAGCATGAGACGTTTACGAGTCCACCTGTGAGTCTATCTTCTGTCCTTATTTGCCAAATATAAATACTAAATGACATTTGTAGCTGTATTAATTCTAGGATCAAATCGAGTCGTTTTTGCATTCAGTAAGCATGTCAATATGAGACCCTTGCTCTTGAAATGCATGCGGATGCAATGATGCTGTCACTCAACAAATGATAAACAATCAACGAGCGGTTGAGTACTAGCTTACAAATTCGTTGTGTGAATTTTACCATTTATTGCCTTTGAAATCATTCTGACTGGCTGATTTCAATGGACCTGAACTACTCCAGGATAACTGAGTTGGGATTATTCATATTATCGGTCCTGAAGGCACTGGTGTTTCGTTCTCCATTGTGGTTTGGCAAAAGACTACTATTATGAGATGATTAGTTCATCAATGGACGAACCACGAGACAATGACTTCATAATGTCTTAGTTAGAATACATACAATATAAGGACGAGAGACACTGAGCAGTCAATTGTCACCTCACCCCTTGTCTATGCATGCCCCCCTTAAGTTTTCCCTCTTAACAGGTTATGAGCCTTGAGCTCCCTGTATACACACATCCACTATACACTTTAACCCTTTTACTCACATACATTTGCACACATTTGTATCATGGTTCCCCTACATACAGATACACACTGTAAACTAGCTGATGTACCTAAATACTTTGGTCAAAACATCACAATGCTTAAGACTGAAGCAAACTACAAGATGTGGCACTACCACATTGTTTCTAGTGTTACAGCTACATGCTTTGAACACTTACTAAAGGATGAACTGTAGAACAAAGCTAAGAGGGAGATAGCTAAGGCTATTCATGCATGCATAGTTAATAACATTGCTAACACAATATTGGCAAACTATATACACTTTGATACATCTATCCCTTAGTTAATGAAAGCACTTAAAGAATGCTTTAACCCTCAGACAGTATGTAAAAAGGCTATCAACAAATCAGCACTGTTTATTTACAGAGACTATGTAAAACATTTCAGATATACATTAGACAGACTTGAGGAAGCATACACAACTCTGTCTACTAACAGTGATCCACCACACAACTCTACATACAAAGCAGCAATATTGCTTACTACTCCTGAGTAATATACACACATAGTAAATACAATAATACAATCTACTAATACCTAAAACAAAGGCAAACCAGTTGATGAACATAAGAAAGTCAAACCAAAGTAACTAATCCTTACATTACAGAATGCCTACAACAATTACTGTACTAAACAAGTACAAGATTCCAATGATCAGACAAAGAATAATGTACACACTAATACAATGTATAAAGCTAATAAGCAGAGGAAATTCAATCTACCAAATCTGTTCAATCTAACAAAAGCAAAATGTTTCAATTGTAGAAAAACAGGACATTTCTCTAAGGAATGCTGTAAGCCTCCTACTGAAGCTACAAAGCTTGCATGCACCAAACATCAAGCTAACATTGTGTATAAAACAAACCAAACTGTGGAAAACACAACAAACACATTTATTATTGAAAACCTAAACAAAAACAATGTTGAATTAAAGGAAGGCAATGTTGAAATGAACAATAATACTTACACTCTTATTCTAAGCAACTAGGACAAACAATTCGAACAATACACTTCCTGGGTATGTACTAATGTATTTACAAATACAATCATAGCTAACAAGAAATCCTATACACAAACAATAGATTTACTCAATTCTAGTACATTAATACATACTACTCCTTATCTATTTTGATTAACAGATGTACACAACATAACTCCTACAATTGTAACTATTGCAAATAGATCAACAATAACTCTTAATCAAGCTGGATCTATGTGTATCAAAATCCTGAAGAATATACAAGAAAGAAGTATCATAACATTACAAAACATCTATTACTATCTACAAATGAACTTTTCCCTCATAAGTCAAGTACTACTATGTAGGGAAGGTTATTCTTTTATGTTTACAAATGATAATTGTACTATAACATCACCATGTAATGAATACATCAGACATATATGATTGAGAAATAACTTGTATATTTTGTACAATAATCATTTGTTAAAAACAATGAACAAACTATCTATTTATGATATACATAAATGCCTCAGACATATAAGTTACAATTATATTAAACAATTATTAAAGACACAACCAAGTGTACTATCAACTAAAATAACAAACTACAAAGAAAAAGAATGTATTGAATACATAAAAGCAAATATTGAATGTACACTAATACCAAAACTATGTCAATCTCCTCTTACAAATCAATTTGGAGATCTTATTCATATCAATATTATTAGTCCTATTAAACTGTATACATATAAGAACATACACTACTTATTAACAATTGTAGACAATTCTACTTGTTAGTGTATAATGCTCAAATTACAAACAAAATCCAATACATATACACAATATGTACAATGGACAACCAAAATATTTATACAGTACAGAGTTAAAATAAAGCTTTTACAAAGTGATAACAATACTGTATTCCTTAGTGAAGATTTCTAACAATATTTAGATTCATAAGAAACAAAACGAAGATTAACAGTACATCATACTCTGTAACAGAACAGAATAGTGGAACAAACTCATAAAACTATATTTAGAGGTGTAAGAGCATATCTAACATTTACTGAATTACTGTTTACATTATAAGCTGAAGTAGTAATTCATATTACCTATATTCATAATAGAACACTGTGTACTACTTTAAATTACAATACCCTACATTACAAACATTACAGAACACACAGAACAATTGATAATATATATGAATTTAGTCAATATATTATCATTTACAATGAAAATCCTACAAAAATACAATAGTAAGGTATCATTGCTTGTTGGATAGGATTAGACAATGAAAGTAAAGGTCATAAAACTTGGCACAATAATAAAATCACCATCAAACAAAATATTCAATTTCTTGAAGGTAAACCTTCTCAAATTGAAGGGGAGAAAATAGACAATACAAACAATGATACAAACAAATGTTTAATAATTAAAAATAACGAAACAGACAATAGAATAACAAGAATGGACAATAATGATACAGACAACACTGATTCTAACAAAAAAGGAAAAGCAGCAGAACTAACAGACTTAATGGACAACAAAGTTAAATTAACCAAAAAAGAAGTAGAACCTAAACTACATTGATTGGAACAGAAACAGAAACTAACAGAATGTGCTATTAAGCTTGAACAACACATAGAGAATAAACACATAACAAAATACATGTATGTACTTAGTAAAAAGGATGAAGATAATATTGCCATTCATTTAACAGAATTTAATACTAAAATAAGTGAAATACAATTGGATCCAACTTCATTTTATAAAACAATCCAATGTCCAGATTGTGATTCATAGATTACAGCTATGAAAGACAAAATAAAACAATTAGAAAATCATAATACATAGGAAATCACAAATCCACACAATAATATTAACATTATTGGAACATGATTTGTCTATAAAATAAAGTAATACACTGACAATAGTATAGAAAAATACAAAGCACAATTAGTAGTTCAAGGAAACTATCAGATTGACAGTCTTGACTATCATACAGACAATTTATTTGCTCCTACTGCTAGACTATTTACAGTACAATTAATATTAGTATGGGCAGCATCTAATAATTATGAAATACATCAGATAGATATAAAATCAGCATATCTGTATGAACAATTGACAGAAGACAAAGAAATATATGTTAAACC